AAGGTTCGGCAAGACCGGGAGCACAGACTCTGTGGGCAGCTTGTCAGAAACTCTTCAGGTGTGTGGTTGTCAGGGAGAGGGGGGAAGGTATTCTGGTTGAGGAAGGTTTTTGTGGCAGTGACAGACACACTGCCTTCGATGGCCACATGAGGGCCGTCAGCTGCCCCGCCCCCACAGGTGCCTTGCCCACTGCTCCTCCTTTCGCTAGGATCTGACTTTCGTCGCAGATGAGGAGTCGCTTCACGCATGCTCGTTCTCACCCTTCTGCACATCCGAGCACGCACGCACCTGCGCACCTATGCGCAACCATTCACGGCCACGCACGCATCGGCGCCGTGCACCGTGCATGCACCGTGCATGCACTCGAGCACTTTCACGTGGCGGGAAAAAGGCAACAGCCAAATGAGCTGCAGCTCTGTCGAGCTGCAGAGAGGCGGCCAGGTCGACGGGCAGAAGTCCCCGACTCACATAAAGTTAAAGCGGCCGTCGCACCTTTCAGGGTTTCACGCCCTGAGGCCGAGTTGCGTCGATCTCGGAACTTCAGGCGCAGCAAGTCGAAGCATTCCATGTGCAGTTGGCTTCCTGAACCACTTCTTTTAAGGGCTTAGGTTTTGGACCGGTGTTCTGTGACATTGGCATGATCGACTGGAGCTCTGGCAGTTTTTGCGTGGCGGGTCAGTCAATGCAGGGGTGAGAAAGATCTGGCAGAAGCCTAAACCCTAAACCCGAAATGAGAGTTTACGAAAATCAGGGACCCAAATAGTAGGACTCCTACACAATCAGGACCCCAAGAAGGTAACCCAGAATGTCGGAAACCCCCTAAATTGCGTGTCCTGTGGAAGGCTCATGCAGTGTCAGACTACTTCATGAGCCCATCGGGACCCGACTTCGAGATCTTTAGCCAAGGCCATGTAGGGTTGAGGGTTAGGGTTTAGGGTTTAGGGTTTAGGGTTTAGGGTTTAGGGTTTAGGGTTTAGGGTTTAGGGTTTGAGGTTTGAGGGTTCAGGGTTTAGGGTTCAGGGTTGAGGGTTTAGGGTGTAGGGTTTGAGGGTTCAGGGTTTAGGGTTCAGGGTTCAGGGTTTAGGGTTTAGGGTTTCAGGGCAGAACCACCTTCGGAAAGAGCAGTGAGAGAGCATCCGCACGCCTGCTGTGGCATCATCGCCTCATCTTCACAGTGCATGGCCTAAACCCAAGAAGCCCCAAGTTCAGGGTTTAAAGGTTGATCATATACACATATGAAAATATTAACTAAATATGTAAATAAATAAATAAATAAATATTTATTTATATATATACATATACTGTAATTATATTATATATATATATATGTCAACCCGAGCATCCCCAAGTTCGGGGTTTGAAGGTTTAGAGTCCAGAGGCCTTCTTTCCGGGAGCCTCTTCTGCGCCGCCATGGACGAAGATCAGATCCACGACTTGGCCCCTGGGATCACAGCAATGGGGTAGGGGTCCTAAAAATGACGGTACTTGTACCTATTCTCGTCCCCAAAAACATGTGTGTGTGTGTGTGTATATGTGTATATATATATATAACGGCACACTTGTGAGAAGGACCCTCAAAAAGACCTTAATTTTTGAGAGCCACCCTCATAGTACAGGTTTTGGAGACGAAGGTTCGTTCAGGTTCCAGGGTTTGGCGATTTGGGGTTTTGGTTTTTTCGTAGGTCTTTGGGTTTGTTGGGGGTTGTAGGACGCCAGGTGTAGGCTTTGGGGTCCCTTGAGGATCAAGTTGACTTTTTCCGGTCATTCGGCCAGAGTCACAGGACCTGTCTGTCCACGAGTTCAACCAGTTCTTCTTTGTGGAGACGAAACCACACGCTAATCACAGTGTTTTATGGTGCAGACTAAGTGTCAATATGTGAGAATACACAGTAGTTGACAGTGACAAGGGGGAGAAGACTTCATAACTTAAGGAAAGACGCAGGAACCATTTGCAATCCGAGCTGTGCTCGTGAGCATGGTAGGCACTCTTGTTTGATCTGGATTTTCAGGGTTTGCAACTGTCATTCGGAACGATCATTTCGTGAGCATGGTATTGTTTGCAGGCGCATGAGCCAGCGTGCTGTAGCTGTATGAAGCGTGGTGTGTATAGCTGCTTTTGGTGAGAGCATACATGGCTCTTTATAAATCTGGTGAGTATATATTGAGCGTCTTTATTGGGGATGGAAAGCCGCGACAGGGCAAAGAAGTTATGCGTCAGTTGCAAGGCACACCAAGCACAGCTACTTCGCTTCCAGCCCGGTGAGCTCGCTTCCGACAAGGCTAGCAGCAATATAGGCAAAACCGCACTAAACCCTAAACCCTAAACCCTAAACCCTAAACCCTAAACCCTAAACCCTAAACCCTAAACCCTAAACCCTAAACCCTAAACCCTAAACCCTAAACCCTAAACCCTAAACCCTAAACCCTAAACCCTAAACCCTAAACTGCAATGAACGCAGCTCGTCCAAAGCTGCCGAGTGCTCCCAACACATCCCATTTGCCTGCCTGCAGTCCTAGGGCATGTCCACGTAGAAGTCGTAGCAGTCCTCGGCAGCTTCGAGGAAGCAAGCCGTGTGCTGTTCCTGCAGGATGAATTTGGGACTGGCCTTTTCGTCATCCGCGAGGGCAGTTTCAAGCTCTCGAGCACTTCCGGGGAGTGCTTTATCGGTCCTGGCTGCGTCTTTGGAGAATTGGACCTGCTTCAGGTCCGCGCAGGTGATGTCGTGGCGGGAGATTTGGGGGGCACGTGTTTTGCTGTCTCGAGCATGGCCCTGCTGTCGAGCATGAAGGCTGTGAGCAGGACATTCGGCCTTCGCAACTTACGCTTCCTGACGACAGCACCTCTGTTCCGATTTCTGGACGCACCTGACTTGGCCATGCTGGGCAGATATGGTTTCTCGCTCACACACGAAGGAGGTGCTTGCATGTACGAGGAAGGGCAGATGCCGAAGGAGTTCCTGTATGTTCTGAAGTCTGGCAGCCTCGTAACCTCTGCCAGCACCCGCCAGACTTACATCTGCCCTGGCGAATGCTTGGACCACAGGGCTGCGTTATGCAGCAGGCCTCATACCGAAACGGTTCGCGTTTGTGACGAGAGTGATGCAGATGTGCTGGCCTTGTCTTTCCAACTGCTTCACGACGTGTTGGAAGAGCATACGCAAGACTTCCTTTGGCGGTGTGCCTTGCTTCGCATGCTTCGTGATTCCTGGTCTGACCGGCCCGGATTTTGTGGCCCTCTCATGTGGCGAGATGATCCGGAAAGCCTTGCAACTATATCCCCCTTGGGAATTACTTTTATTTTTTCGTATAAAACCCGAGAGGATATTGAAAATAGTATTTTTATTGAGGTTCTAAGGGTAGCATAGGCAAGAGCATGCATCATCAAGTCGCTCCCGGCCGGCAGCTCCCATGGGTTCTCTGCCGATGAGGCTCAGTCGGTTGTTTGGTATGCCATACTGGACGGATCCATGCAGGCGACGGATGCTACTGAGGGGCCAGGCCACTGCTTTTGCCTGGGAGACAGGATGGGAGAGTCGGGAGACTCCAAGGGACGAAGATGGGAGAGGCTGGGACAGGCCAGCACTTTGGCAGGCTGCACTCTGGCACTACTCCTTCAGGATGCCATGATTGCAACGGACACGCTCCCCACCGCGTGTGATGACACGAGTAGCAAGCTTGAGGTGGTGAAGAACACGATGATCCTTCGAAGCCTGGACAGCAAGCAGCAAGTGCAACTCGCGGAGGCTGGCCACCTTGTCATAAGGCCAGGCCATGACAAATTCATGGTGAGGTCGTGACGATGAGAGGCTTTTGCTGTTCCCCACTCGAGGCACCAGGGCCAGTTCATCTTCAAAGAAGGCCATCCCGAACTCGAAAGCCCTCAATTTCTGGTGTTTGTCAGTGAAGTTTCTGAAGCGAAGCTGCTCCGATTTCGCCACCTCTTGCCGTGGAGTTGATCAGGCGACCTTGCTTCTCACTTCTTCGTAATCAAGGAGGGCGAGGTTGTGGTGTCCAAAGGAGGCTTGCCACTCGAATCTGCCTGAAGAACCCAACAAGGGGCCCTGGTGGGGGGAAGAGCTCGAGGTGAGATCATTCGGACCTTGGGCGCCTTCAGCACCTTCGGCGAAGCCGAGCGGGCAGCTCGGATGCCTGCGCGGACGCGCTTCGCGCATGTGTGTGTGCAATGGAAGTAGACGCAAATCATGCAGAGGCTTCTGAGCAAGAAGACTCGCTACTTCAGCGTCAACTGCAAGAGCGCCGCTCACTCGGAATTCCGGGACATGTGATCGGGAATGGCCATGCCCCTTTGGCTGCCCTGACAATGAACCGTGCAGACAGGACTCGGTGACTCTGATGGCCGAGATCTGAGATAGCTTTCCATAACAGCAGAACACTCTCTGATGCTGATAAGCCGGCTTAAGCTACTTATGTCCATGCCCCTTTGACAGCCACAGGCGGTGGACACCATGATTTTCGAGCAGCTTGTGAAGGACAAGATTTCTGCGCAGCCCGGCGCACTTCCACAGCTTCGCTACATTGCTACATTACACTCCAACATCATCTTTAAATATCTACAGCAACTGCTGCCAAGTAATAATTAGAACATCGATGTCGCAACAGCACTTCGGCACTCTAGTAGTTGTTGCTGAGTCGATGTTTTCAATCGGTTTAGTGCAGGACCGAGTGTCCCAGCAATTGCATGACCAGCTGCACCTCCGGCTGCTGCCTCAGCATGACCCGTAGGACGCCGTAGTCCTTGGGTGGGCTTACTCGCTTCATCGATGTCATCAGTGTTAGGCTTCGTAAAGTTCAGAGCGCAGGCGCACGGACATCGCTCTCAAGGACCTCCGAAAGCTGCGAGTCATCGGGCATGGGACCTTTGGTACAGCACGGCACTGAGGAAGACTGGAGCAAAAGCCTTGATTAGCAGTGTGGAAGGGCTTCGTAGGGTTTGTTCGGATTTGGGCTCGTTGGGTTAAAGCTTCCAGTTGCCCACTTTACCGGAAGCCCAACCCCGAAACACAAGGCCTGGTGCAAACCTGAACACACACACACACACACACACACACACGGAGAGAGGGAGGTCAGCCAGAGATTGTTGTACAATGGTACACTGACTGGAGATGACTGGAGAGACCTCAGTACAGGAGAGACCTCAGTATAGGGGAATCCCATCGGGACTCCTGGAAAACATTGCAGGTACATGGAGCTGGCCAAACTCCACATCCCCTGATGCTTCATAGCTTCGTTGGATTGGGTAGAAGCATCAGGCCCAATCCCCCTGCGGGAAAATTCGACTCATGCATAAGCTCTCAGCTCCAAGCCCCTTAGCTTAGAATCAGGGTTTACACACACACACACCCCTCCTACGAGGGGAGACACAGTGCATTCCAAGGCCACAAGAGATATGCTGCACGCACACCCTCCGAAGAGGGAAAGTCCTGGTCTTGTACCTTTGTCACCGGTGAGTCCTCCGCCATAGGCCCGTCACCGCCATAGGCCCTCCTCCTCCAGCACCGACCTTAGAAATCCTTAGTGTCGTCGTCATCATCGTCGTCAGAGACCTCCAGCTGCCATGACAGGCCCAGGAGCGTCCGGGAGATCCCAGCTGCCACCGCCTTGACCCAAGGCACCTCCCATCATCGTCGTCGTCGTGGAGGACCCCCAGCTGCCACACAGGACCCAGGAGCATCCAGGAGGCCCCCGCTGTCCACAGCGACCCAGAGCACCTCTCTTTTAAAGAAAGAAAACGTTCTATTTGCAACTGAGGGGCAACCACCGGAAATACGACTCGGGTCGAGACCCACGAATAGAGAGTTAGACCACCTCGTCTATGTCTCACGACTGGGCTTACGACGCCCTTCAACAATTTCCGGTTCCGCCCTTATTGGCGACTTTGAGCTTCAGCCGTGGCTGGTACCTCGAGAGAGAGAGAGAATCCGCTCATAGCACTGGGTGCCTACCAAGGCTCATCTGGCACTGAAGCCTCTCTGTTTACTTGGGTGATCCCCATCCAGGAATCAGGCAATGCCCAAACGGGTAAATTGCCCTTGGGCGACGAAGCCCACACACGGAGAGAGGGAGGTCAGCCAGAGATTGTTGTACAATGGTACACTGACTGGAGATGACTGGAGAGACCTCAGTACAGGAGAGACCTCAGTATAGGGGAATCCCATCGGGACTCCTGGAAAACATTGCAGGTACATGGAGCTGGCCAAACTCCACATCCCCTGATGCTTCATAGCTTCGTTGGATTGGGTAGAAGCATCAGGCCCAATCCCCCTGCGGGAAAATTCGACTCATGCATAAGCTCTCAGCTCCAAGCCCCTTAGCTTAGAATCAGGGTTTACACACACACACACACACATAACCCAAGCCTGATAGCTTCAGGCCCCGAATCCAAACCCAAGGGCACTCAGGGGACTGCCAGGGGAGGCGTGCTGCACGATTTTAACATGTGAAGCCTTAGGCAGATGGCTCCGTCACTAGCGACGGACTTGAGTCTTGGGAGTATTCCCGCTTTTTTGTTTGAGCAGAGAATGTAGCGAGGGAGACAACCAGGTTCTGCCGAGAGCAGGTCAAGCCACCACGAACGGGGCTAGCAGTCGTTCGTGTTGGGCTTATTGGGGCGCTTCAACGGTGTCGTGCATCTCTTGATGCTCAGGTGCAACTCATGGAGCATCAGCCATCGGGCATGAGGCGGGATGGGGACACTTCTGCCGGCCCTTCTCAAAAAGCAACCGGCGCTAGGGTGTTCTGCTGGCGCCAAGCTGCATCGGAAGCCAGCAGCTGGCCTTTCAGGTACGCACTGAAGTGGATCCGTCGTTCCCAGGCCCGTCGTTGCTTCGCAAGCATTCAGGAGTCTTATAGTGATGTCTGCATTCTTGGGGGGCGTGTTTTGGAGTCGCAGCCACTGCGGCCATCTGCGAGGCCATTGCCAAGGGACAGCAGCAGAGCCTCTGCAACGAGCGGGAGTTGTTGATGGACCTGGCCGTGACCTGAGCGAAGCGATGTCATGAGTGATGGCTGTTAGCACCCAGCCCCATGCAGAACACTGCTTTCATGCGAGGACCATCCCTTCATCTTAAAGCTCGTGCGAACGTTCAAAGATTCCAGGCACATTGGGATGGTGTCCAGCATTGCTGCTGAACAGGAAACTCGTGGAAAAAGACGTGATTCATGCTTCTCGAAGCAGACCAAGACTTCACAAGTTCTCTTTGCACTTTCAGATATCACGGTTGATGATATTTGAACGTGTATATGGCCGTGTATGAAGAGTTCGCGGCAATAGCAGAAAGCATCCGCATGTTGTTTTTTGGCAGATCAGAGTGGCAGGCTATGTACTTTAACTAAAAGTTGCTTTGTCACTCATATAAAGATCCATCGTGCGCGCTATGTGCCCTCGCCAAGTGCGCCACTGACGCCGATTCGGACTTCGCAGAATTTCGTAGATATTGTCGGCAGGGCGTGGCGGCCCAGCGGGCGGCCATGGACGCTGGTGGCCACCCTGCAGCCATTGGGTCAGAATCGCTGCACACTCTGCAAAGCATACGAGGCAAGCTTTCAGAGCTTGCGTGGCCCCCAGTCCTCCAGCGGGCATGGTCGGATGTAGGTTCCCTCAAGGATCAGCCGGCCCAGGGTTCCCTGCGCATCCTCTCCTTGAACTTGCTGGCAGACAGCAAGCAGAAAGAGGAGGAGTGGTCAGCAACTCCGGCAGAGGTGCTGGACTGGTCCAAGCGGCGCCTGCGCTTGCTGGAGATCCTCTTGCAAGAGGAAGCCGACATCCTGTGCCTACAAGAGCTGCTAGGTAGGTTTTTGGGACATTTTTACATATGTTCCCTTATTGGGTTTAAGAGGATCCTATTCAGAATATTTTTCAGAGGGTTTTAAGGGCCATCCGAGGCTGGACTTGGATTGCAGGGACGCGCGTGACGCAAGGGCTTGCCTGGATCCTGAGCTTCGTCTGGCAGGCTACAGAGGCATCTTCACCAGACCAACTCCGCCGGCGACCGATGGGAGCGCCGTCTTCATTAAGCAAGACCGCTTCGCCGTGGTTGAGGAGTCTGATTTCGGATATGCAGTGGTTAGTCTTCTGACGGACCTCAAGTTCGACAAGCGTTTTCTAATCTCCAGCGCACACTTGAAGTCGGGAAAGACAGAAGCAGCAGAGAAGCAGAGATGCCAACAGATGGTCTCACTGCTGGACTACTTGTCCCGCATGTCCTGCACGGCCTGCGGAATCATTATGGCCTGCGACATGAATGCAGTTTCCGTGCCAGATGGCAAGATTGGTGAACCTCTTGCATACAGGGCGGCACTGAGCCATGAGCTCACACTTCAAAGCTCCTATGCGGAGTCTTCGAAAGAGCCCGAGTTTACAACCTGGAAGCTGAGGCCCAAGGGCGAGGTGAAGCGGACCATCGACTACATTTTTCACTCTCCCTCCTTGAGGCCTCAAGGTCTGCTCCAACTTCCACCCGAGTCAGCCATGCCGCAGGAGCGGCTGCCTAGCCATTCATATCCATCGGATCACTTGGCTTTGGGGGTGGACTTTGTTTTCAGCCTGTCAAGCGACGGCGATGCCGCTGATGGAAAAGAACTGCCTTCTTGCAGCAGAGGCTTCTATCCCATACGGCCCTAATACAGTAGTAGGCAAGAGTCTACTAGAGTTGGCTGTCTTCTACTACTTTGTCATCAGAAGCGGATGTCTGGGCGGCACACTTTTACTTTGAGTTTCGTCCATCTAGGTTATGTTCAAAGCCTTTGTTGAAGGGTTCAGGGAGCTTGGAGCTTGGGCTTGGCAGAAGCTTGTGACAGAGAGTGGCTGGCGGTTGTTTCATGCAGGTACGTCTATTTCCTCACGGAGTTTGTAACAGGCGCGTTCATGCATGCCTGCACCCCGCTGGCCGAATGTTTGAAAGCACATAGCCTGAGGAGACACTTACAAAAAGGGGGTCCATTGCCAGAACCCAACCAGAGAAGAGGCGGAGAGCTCTTCTCGGCCATCCGCTCCTTGGGAATTCTGGCCGGGTGGCAAGCCAGGCTGGGCATGCTCCGAAGGGTGGGATCCCTTTTGCAAGTTTAGGGTTTAGGGTTTAGGGTTTAGGGTTTAGGGTTTAGGGTCTAGGGTTTAGGGTTTAGGGTTTAGCTGCAACTCCAATCGCGGAATGATGGCATCGTCGTTTCATAACCGAAACAGATGGAAGCAGGTTCTACACGGGTGGCCTGATCCTCGCGTTGCAGGCTCTTCATGAGAAGCTGCTCAGCCTTGCAAGACTCGGGGGCGCCCCCAAGGGTTCATTCGAGGGTGTTCCTCTTCGTTTGGGCAGCTACTGTACAGTAGTTGGGGGCCCTGGAGAAGTTAGACATATGGTGATTTCTCTAAATTGTGGTCCCTTGTGTTTGTGGTCCTGATTACAAGGCGGCCCCTCTAATCTAGGGTACCCAAACAGGACCCTAATGTAGAGAACTGACCATATCAAGTTATCACCCTCCCAAACAACAAGCAAAAAAAGACAAACAGGGCCCAGAGATGCCCAGAGAATCAGAAGCCCTCAGCATGCGGCCAAAGCCCAAATCCTCAGCTCTCAACGCTAAACCAACCCTCAGCCCTAAGAAAAGCCGGACCCTCAACACCCGAAAAAGACCCTCCAGGCCCAAACAAAGCTCTCAGCAGAAGCCTATAAGGAGAATCGTGTACCGGGACTTAAAGCCCGAAAACGCGCGGAGCCTCAGAGGGAGGAGGCGAAGATGTCATTTGCTCTTCGCAGGGGTTGAGGATCTTCCCAGTTTTTTCGCATCCTTCCTGATTTCTGCCCAGCTGATGTCCCCTTCCAGACGGCCGGACAGGTTTTACTTGACTCTGATGGATATCCGAAAATCATCGACTTCGGCTGTGCTGTCAGACTTGGTCGCCGCCGCCCCACGTTCTCTGTTCTTCCATAGTCGCAAACCTCCACGAGTCGCACGAATGGAAGTATGACTTCGTCCTGCACTGTTTCAAGCAGTAGTCACAGGAGCTGAGAGCGCCATGCATTCGGATAGCTTGGGGGCCTCGGGCGGCCCCCAAAAGCGGCAATTTCCGTGAAGGCACGGAGGGTGAAAGGCCCCTCTGCCAACACCGTACGTGGTTTTGCCAAATGGGCCATGCCACGACCGTGACTCCAACAGCTGTGTCCAGGTACCGATATGTGGAAGTCAAGCCAGCAAAGAGACGCGGAATCAGACGTAAGGTTCCATCAGGATCAATCAGGGGCGTGTTGCGCAAGCACGGCTGGAAGAAGGCTCTTGACCTCGTCAAGGACATGACTTTGAACTTTGTGGAGCAGGATCTTCAGCTCGTGCTCAGCGTGGCGGCAAAAGCGGCCAAGTGGCAAGAAGCTCTCAGATTTGCCCGGAGAATTAACAGTGACCAAGGCGCTAGTGAAGCTGCGAACTCTTGGGGTAAGGGTGACGGCTGGCAACGAGCAATACAGGTAATCCAGACTGTGCAGTGGATGGGCTTTGAGGTCGCGGTCGAGACGCTGAATGCTGCTTCTAGCTGTGAGAGACGGGGGGTCCGAAGAAGCTGGCTTTTGTCAATGCAGTGCTTCAGGCAAATTTCTGCGAAAGGCTTGCGAGCATCTCCCGTGTCCATGAATTCACTCCTGGCCTCTCTGGGCAGTGCTCTTCGATGGCACAGAGGCTGCCAGTTGCTGCATGAAGGCCTGCGTCGCAGCATTGCACCTGATGATATTAGCTTGAACTCGCTCGTGACGGCGTGTGAGAAGACAGCCAAGTGGGAGCTGGCCATTGGCATTTCGCTGCTTCAAGGCATGTTCAGCCTGGAGCCTGACATCATCGGGCGCAACGCTGCCATCAGCTCATGTGCGAATGCGGGGCAGTGGCGCCTGGCATCAGTGCTGCTGTCGTCCTCGAGGCAGCTGGGCATACGTATGAGTCTAGTCTCCATTGCGGCCATGGCAACTGCCGGTGAGAGGGCCAACCAGTGGAGGGTGCCCCTGGAGCTCATCGACTCCCACCGGACATTGACAGGGGCAGTTCTGTATGGGGCTGCATTCGATGCTCTGGAAAGTTGGGGCAAGTGGACTGAAGCGCTTGACCTCTACCAAGAACTCCCCATCCAGCTGTCTTCCCCGCATCCGAGCTGGCAGGAAAGGAGGCCATGGCTGGATCCAATGACCGTTTTTGCGACCGTCTCCGCCTGCAGCAAGGCTGAGAAATGGAGACAGAGCGTGTCGCTGCTGAACCATGTCTGGCAGCAGTCTCCCGACGGACAAGGTCTCAGTACTGCAGCACTAAATGCATGTATTTACGCGTCAGCCGGGCACATCGGCCTGGAGGTTCTGCTTCGTTGGATGAAGGGCATGCACGTCAATCCCGACATGCTCTCCTACTCTGCTTTGGAAAGGCGAAGTGCGGCGTCCGGACCCGAGGTAGTCCGGCTGTTGGGCACGGTCAGGTCTTGGGCAGCGTCTTTGTGGCCTGAAAACAGATTGAGCGACTGCATCTGCTGCTGTGAAGGAATTGCCTTCCACAACCAGCTAGCTTGAGAGCAAACCAAGCAAGGCCTAAACCAGCTCACAGATGCAAGGCATGCGGCGGACTCTCATCGGCACGCCGCACTACATGGCCACCGCCTTGGCAGCTGATGAATACTGGGGCGAGTCTTCAATCCCACGGTCTTGCCGCCCTCAGGCTCCAGAAGTCATACTTGGGGAGGACTATGGAGACTGCTGCGATGTGCCTGCCTCAGCTGGGGATCTCTGCAGCCTTATTTTTAGAGTGCCCAGAGACCAGAAAGGCGACCATAATTTATCGCTACGCGGCGTGCCTTGGCCGGGCCAAGGCCCTGACACATGTGGGAAAGCGCAGCAGAGGCAGCAGAGGCAGCAGCCGTGCCCAAACCGCGTCCCAGACCTGCCAACCCCTGCAGACTCGGCCCGGCCTCCCATGGCATTGACACACGTTCAATGAAATCCCATCTATGCAAAGTGCGTTTGATCGGGAACTTCTTAGCGCCACGAAGTTCCCTGACTCGGCTGATAATCTTTCGCGCAGCTGGGAGACCACCGCCCTGAACACCCACCAACAATCACCCACAGACCCCACAGCACCCGTCTACGAGCAGCTGCGATGCGGGAGTTTTCGGAAGCTCCGGAAGTGGAGCTACAGAGTTCCTAAGAGTCTCAAAGGTCCATCCAAGGACCAGCGGCAAGATTCTGAAGACTGAAGGTTCTCAGCATAGCATTCCTTCGCTCCTAGGATCCCGCTCACACAGGTCCTCGAAGGTAGTCCCCAGATCTTTCGAGGTTCCTTTTGGGAGACCTGGGGGAGTGTCTAGGGGGTTCGAAAGATCGGAAAAGTTTGTGGTAACTGCCTTCGCGGAGCTCAATGATCCCATATGGAGCTTCCCCTTCATTCGGGGTGCCTATTTTGGGGTCCCTACTGTATAGTAAAGGATCGTAGTATCTCAGGCACGACTTGGGGTCTTCTCATTTTTTAGACATGTTAGGACTGTTAGGAAATGCCCATATTCCGCAGTTCCTGAAGTTCCTGGAGTCGAGGTGTGGTCCCTGGGGGTTTGCCTCTACGAGTTCGTCGTCGGGCCGTTGCCCTTCGCCAACAATCTGGAGAATCCAAAGCAGGCCGGTGTCCCAAGATATACACACGCGTGGGAGAGGCGAAAGTTTCTGAGGGCGTCATACTTGGTTCCCTGGCTTGCGCGGAGGTTTTCCAGCAAATCCTGACCACCCCGCTGCGCGACATCCCAGCCACGGCTAGTTACTACTTTGCTGTCGCCCCGCATGTGTGGGTTTTTTACTTGCTTCGAAGTCGGCACCACAACATGCTCCAGGTCCTTTCCGGGCCATGTTGCGAGCAGCGCCTGCAAGCATCTCATCAGGCAATCCGCTCGCGGTGTGAAAGATCGGATGCAGCTTAGAGGTGTAGAGGATTCTCGAAGGCATAGGTTCAGCAATTGTTGGTTTAGGTCACATGTATGGCACCATGGCCCAGTAGCTGCTCTGTGGATTCCCATTGTTTGCCCGCGAGAACCTGTATGCGCATAAAGTGCGGTTAAACAAGAAGTAAGCTGCCTGGAAGTATTCAGGCTCAGAAACTTGCTATGGCAGGAAGTGGCTGACAATCTACACTTGTCCTGTGGATGGCTAGCCGACGACACGATGGTTGTCAAGCTGTATCCCAAACCTTTGCAGTAGTTGATCAGAAATGAAGAATAGCAACCACATGATGTTGTTTTTCACTTCGCCTGGCTCCATAGATACAATTTTTTCGAAACCTCGACAAGAACGAGAAGTTCATCTTTCAAAGAAGGGGTATAGTCATGTAAGAACAAAGTTTGGAGTCTGGCAAGCCATTCCTGGTGTTTCTCTTACACACGGTGCAAATGTGTCTTATTTGTTTTGGCACAGGGAATTCTGTTCTCTTGGGCATTGTATCCGCAAATTTTTTACTTGGTACTGAGAGTGTCTCGTTGTGATCTGCTCGGGCCTCTGCAGGGTTCCGGTCAATTTTGGAGGTTTCGTATCACTTGTATCCGCCGGCTTAAATATACAATCGTCTTGAAATCTTAATCATCGGCAATATCATGCAGGGCGTGGTTCCGCAAGTTCTCACATAGTATAAAATGTGTATAATCTTAGAATGTTAGCTTCCCCGGTCACGATAAGAAGTGCACATGGAAGCCGCAAGTAGCGGAAGTGGAGGCTGAAAGCTTGACTACTGATGAGCTACATCGCAGGTTTGAGCTGAGCAGAAGCGGATGGTCTTAAACCGTTTGCCACCCTCCAATCCAACGACAACACACGTGTAGCATTCAATTGCTTTTTGGCATTAGTATAATACACGCTGACGCAACTAGTTCTGGAGAGCCTCTTGTCTTCATCTGTTTGCCCCCCCCCCCCCCGCCTCATGGGCAACACTAATGTTTGTTCTTTTGTCTCCGGCATGAGTTCGCACTTGTTGACTTTCGTTCAGAGAGCGTAGGCCCGTTAATCGTTTGCTTCCATATGGCAAAGAAGTGTGTATTGAAACCTTAAGCAGCTGAAGCGAAGGCTGAGGCTCTGATTCATACAAAAACAATATGGGCCCGTGAACCCGGGGCCCATGAGCCCGTGTCACCAGATTAGACTTTTGTAGTTGATAGATAGAAAAAGACGAGCGAAGTTGAAGTAAACGCACCTGCGACTCAGATTTATACGATTATGCCTAATTGGCTATTCACCCTTTTACCGCTTAGGAATAAGAATAGGGGGTACTACAAGCCGTAGTTCAGGAATGTTGGGCAAAGGGAGAAGATCCCGAGCTAGATTGCGTATGGCCCTTTTCAGGAGCCTCCTGCGGCGGAGCCCAGAGATCCGCCTTGGATGCGGCGAGTGTCCTTCTGAGCTTAGGGTTTAGGGAAACCTACTTGTACACCCCAGCAGGCCTGAATCGTAGTAGCAAGAATCCACAGGGGGGTTTCCGAAAATAGGGATACCCTGATGCTCTTCTATTTGGGGTGTACAAGGGGTGCCCCGATTTTGGGAAATACCCACATCTTGGATCCCAGTCGAAAAAGTCTCGCCATGTTCTTACAGGGGCCTTTGGTTTTGGGGGGCAAACTGGTGCTTGCTAAGTCAACAACTGAGGCGTGGTTTGTGGGATGTGTTGCGGGCTCAGGAAGCAGGGTTGTAGGACTTAGGGCTCAGGGCTTGCAGGGCAGTTTCCTGACGCCGGCAAGGCGCGAGCACGCGTACTTCCAGAACTTCCGCTTTGACAGGCCAGCGGTGCAGCACACACCTGGGTAGTTCTCTAAATTAGGGTCCCCTTTTGGGAGACATGGAACGGCACCCTCTAAACAGGACACTCCAAAATACCCGATGCTAGAGAACTGCCCACAGACTCACAGGCATGCTGGGGTTCTAGCGCTCGCGGCCTCGATGGATGTCAAAACTTGGCATGCTCGTGTCTCTATTAGCTACTGCGGCTACTGCGTGGCTGCGCGGGAGGCTGCTCCACAAACGACTGGAGCCGCCGCTTGCCCAAACCTCAGAGTGAGAGTTGCGGTGGCATTCCTTGACACTTCACGCTATGCCTGTCAGAATGCCGTGCAGGGAACACATCACATGCATCGGTTCTGATCGGCTGTTCCAGTCTAGCTTTGTGTTTGTCAAGGTGCCCAGTCCACCATGCACACCGAGTGGAGAGGAGGCCAGGGTTGGGCAAATCCAAACCACGTCGCGCCACGTCACGACAGGGCTCCGCCAGCCCCGCAGTGCCTGGAACAGGACAGCCTGACCGAAGACTCAAACTCCTCAGATCAAACGCTGGAGCCTTTGTCATCGTGCTTTACCCACACCAGTCAGGCGATGTCAGACAGAAACAACCTTGCCCTCGCAGGTCTGAGTCCGACGACTGGGCCACTGCCTTTTGAACGAGTGGTCTCACAACGTCTCACAACTGTTTGACTTGCCAAGGCATTACAGCCGATTCTGGCATGTACATTATAAGTCATTTGAGCATGCATTCGCGGGTCAGATGTGTGTGGCACCGCGTGCTGCAGGTGGAAAATACTGGTAAACAACCAAAACCGGCCGGTCTGCATGCCAACTCCTGCACAGATCTGCATCATGAGAGGCTGCTGAGTGATCTGATGGAACTTTCGATTTCGCGTTGCCAGCATCTCAGCAACTAAACAGAAACCAGCTGAATCGCTGGCAACGAAACAGCGATGGACCGCAGAAATCAAATGGTCCAATACTTGTCTCGAGTGCTTCAGGCGATCGTCAGCACAGCACATCAATCCTGAAACCCTTCCTACTCTACCATCATCCAGCCATATGCCATGCTACCACCGCGTCGTACCATCTGATGGACTCCCACTTGTAGCTCCTTAGCCATGGCCAAGCGCCTGGGAGGCGGCCGGCCAGGAAAGGTGCTGGACCGCGAAGAGCGCCTGGAGAAGTTGGTGAATTCTTGTGCCTTTGGTGGGGCGCCTGTTCCATCCACGGCGAAGTCCGGTCGGCCTCCCGTCCCCGGTCCGAAAAGCCGCCCCTCCGGTGGCCCCGCTGTGGGTGCTGGGGCACGGGCCGCCTCACAGGGGCCAAGGCCTGGGAGCAATATTCATACTTTGGATTCACTGGGTACTGGTGGAACTGGCAGCCGGCTTCAGGATACAACCGAAGCATACCGTCAGCAGCGCGGAACGACTGCCAAGAAAGTGACAGAGGTAGGATACCAGTCGATGACCCCCGACAAGGCTGCAGAGGTCGACAAGGCCCGAGCCAAGGTTCGCGGGGAAAGCGTCGGCTCCGGGAGCTCGCAGAGGTCACAGAGGTCCTCCAGCGTTCCGAGCGCCAAGGTCTTCAGCATCAGTGGCCAGCAGATCTCACAGGGCTCTGGCAAGTCCGGAGTTTCTGGCGGCAAAGGCAAGCCAGGTCCTGCTAGGTCTGCTAGGTAGACCCGGCAGTGATCCTGAGAAATTGGGCGAACATTCAGGTGGTTTCACATGAGAGCTAGAACGCGGCCTGTACAGTTAAAGCCCGGAATTCAGTGTGGTTGCGCAAGGCTGGCAGATGCAGGTTCATCTGCAACAAGCGGGCCCAACAGTAAATAAACAGCACACATGCTCAGCCGGCAAGCTGCTAGCGATGTTGAAGGGAGTCCTCTGCACCACTCTTCTTGAGAGCATCAGCTGCAGCATCGTCACGCTAGGCCAACATAGGCCCGAACATCACCCGACACAATCCCGGAGACATGAGCCTTGACCCTCAAAGCCCTAAGCACTCAGCCATCCCAAACCATCGAGCCCTCTAGAACCCTGACCCTGAATCCCTAAAGCCCTAGAACCGCACCGTAAGCCCATGAAGCCCTAAAGCTCTGACATCTAAAGAGCCCAAAGACCCTAAACCCTAAACCCAAAGGGTGAGCCTCTCTTTGCAAATCTCTGCCATGGACCCGTGATGAACGGGGAGCCCAAACTTCCAGCCAGCTGGGCAGCTTCCATTGGCCTGCGGGCTTGGTAGTTTGGTCCAGGGTTCATGGGGTTTGGGGTTTAGGGCGGTTTAGGGTTTAGGGTTTAGGGTTTAGGGTTCTTGGGGTTTCAGGTGCTTCAAGGGATCTTTGGCGCCGAAGGTGTATAGCAGGTGCTATGCAGAGGTCAGGTCAGGCTTCCAGGGCCGTCATCATTGCCCCATGGCTGCACGGCACATTGCACCATTCCGATCACGCTGGTCCTGGACAGCGGCCAACATTCTGAGTTGTCTTTATGCGTTGACATAGGCTGACATAGACATAGACAGAGAGTTTTCGCACGGGCAAGAGCGAAACCGAAGCAGTTCTCGTGCGGGTGAAGGGTTGGGAGTGGTGGTTTCGAGTCGGCATCGGGAGGCCTGGGACCTGCCGAAGCCACCAAGAACGAGCTGAAAGTTCTCAAGCAGCAGCTGGAGGAGGCCAAAACCGCCCTTTTCTTTCGAATCCATCCAAGAAGAGCGGCTTCTGCAAGTTGGCATTGTTTCAAATGGGAGTTTCTGAAAATGGGGGGTACCCTTTTTTTTTTTTGTTTTTTGGGGGGGGGTCCCACAATACGGATTTAGGGGTAGATCAGTGTACCCCTATGTTCGTAAACCCCCTCTAAGTTAAATCCCAGATATGGGAGCATGGGAGCCAGGCGCTGGCACAGAACAAGGCTCTTCGAGAGCAACTCGAGAGCTCGAGGAGCGCTGTCTCCTGCATCTTCAAGGTGCTGATGCATGGATTTAGGGTTTAGGGTTTAGGGTTTAGGGTTTAGGGTTTAGGGTTTAGGGTTTAGGGTTTAGGAACTTGTGTGAAGCTGCAAAAGGCCCCCCAATCCCGCGGCCCAAGTTCCGAATCCTAAGCCCCACAACAAGCCAGCATAGGAGTGGCAAAGACTCCGAGAGGTGGGCCACAGCTTTGTCTCTTCAGGGGCGAGTCTGTCATGTGTCAGCTGAGTGCCATCTGTCAAAGCAGGGATGCCTGGCGAGATCGAGCCCAAAAGGCGGAGAAGAAGGCTTGAGAGTGCAAAGTCCAGCCGCTGGAAGTTGACCCCGCACCCTGCTGCGCGTGAAGCACTTGCGGCGTGGCGGGCGCGATGTGTGCGTCAGGTGCAAGCGCTGACCAAGTGCAGGCCACTTCCCAAGAATGCTGCGCACGCCAGGCCATGCCGCATGCCGCACCGACATGCATCGACCACGCAGCATGACTCGAGCGGAGAGTGTTCGAAGCCTGGTCGGTTAAATTGCCGCACAGAAAGCACAGAATCCCACGCCGCGTTGCCCGTTGCCCCACATACCCCCCCCTTGTACGTGGAGGTTGTTGCGCAGATTGAGGCGGAACATCGCGACTGCAACTTAGCAGATCCCCCTGCGAGCTGCACTTTCACACGTGTACCCCAACTGCTGGCAGTATTTGATCCCCCCAGGCACGAGATGCTTGATGCAGAGCGGGGCTTTGTCATCAACAAGGTCCGCAAGATTCCTAAACCAGCTCGATGGTCAGACGCGAGTTCGTGCGATTTGACAAGGTCACCGAGAAGCATGGGAAGACGGAGGTTGGTGATCGACCATTCAGCTTGGATAGCCCCATGACGGTAGCCACTGGAGGTGCGTCGAGTAGCCGCGCTCTTCTCAGCCTCTTTAGGATGCAGGGCTCATCTAAGCTGGCATTACCATATTGCTGTGGAATGTCTGCTCGTGTTTGGGTATTTGGGGTAAAATTCGCATTCTTCGTAGATTTTCTTGGTATACTTGAATGCCAACCCGAGAGATTCTCTCGCCGTATGCAGCTTCTCACGCCCTGCCGTGTTTTCCCAGATATTCCATGCAAGGTTTGCCCGCACACGCTGGTGCTCAAGTGGTGCCATGCGCAGGAAGCATTTGGCCAGGATCCTGGAGCGTGATTCAGAGGTACTGGTGAGGCCACTGAGTCCGGTCCGGAGAGCAATCTCTCAGATCGCACCCGTGGCTTAGGCTCAACTTCCAAGTGGATGGACTTGCGAACGGCCCATGCCCATGCGAGCAACACCAGAGGGAAGCTTTCGCGATGTGCCATATGCTGACCACGTTGCAAGTCGGCAAGGTCAAGAAGATCGAGTATGGGCCGAAAGCGCGGGCCAGCAAGTTGTTTCCGGAGGCTGGGATTTTTGCCCAAAGCACTTCACAATGCAAAGGCTGCCATATCCAGATTACGCGTACAATGCGTAGAGGGGTGTGGTAGATATCGGGGCTGAGCACACTTCGAATTCGAGTCCTTGGCATGTTGCATCAGGTGTCTCCTTGGTTGTGTTTCTCCTTGATAACGGCTGACAGGTCCCAGGCTTGGATCTTCTAGCAAGTGCCTTTTGGCGGTTCATGCCGCGCAAATCCAGCCCCCACTCTTCCAACAGATGATGTGACACGCATTACCAAGTCCTGGCTTCTTTGCTACAAAGGTCATACGACTTCATCACCTCCAATGACAGCTCAGCGCGATGCTTCGTGCCTAGGTTGCAAGATAGCACTGGTACCTGTGGGTCACCCACGGAGAGGCCTAGAAGGGGACCGTAAACCCTAAACCCTAAACCCTAAGGAGAGACCTCGAAGGGGACCCTAAACCCTAAACCCTCACACTCCATGCACAGGTCCTGAGCATCTCCCGGCTTTGTGAAAGTGTCGCTGTCGCTGCCTCGCCGCGGTATAATATTTGTGGCGTTATGATAGAATAATACAAGCATGTTTTAGTATAATATTGCAACAGTGCAAGAAAAAACTAGACATCAGCGGACACGCATCTGCCGAGGAGGGAGTTGTCAAGACAAGGGGGGAGTTCGCCATCGGCTTACCGCATGACATTCCGCAGCATCTTGGCATGTTTGGCTTCGTCTTGTTTTGCCGTTTTGCCCCAGGAGTCTGCCAAAGGCTGGCACAAGCTGAAGACAGGAGTCTTGAAAACCTGGCAGCTGGTAATCATTTCGGGCTATTCCGGGGTACTTTCACAGGCGCATCGCTTGTCCGGAGGGCATTGGGGTTTACGATAGTAAGGGGCCCCAACTATAGACCCCAAAAATAGCAGGGTCCACGTATAATCAGGACCCCAATAAGGTAACCCCTAATATCGTATACCCCCGCATTGGTAAGCGCGCTGCTCTATTCGGATCTTCGGAGATGGAGGAGCCCAGCGAAAGGGTTTGACACTCTCGAAGGCCTGGGGCGAAAGCTTGTGATCAATCTTTCTTAGGTCACGGTTGCCAAGATGGATAGTACGCTGCTGCTTTTTTGGTGCTATTATTCTTGATTCGTATTTGTTTCTTTGCTGTGGTTGCTACTCATCTTCTTAACAGTCGGGCATTCCAGTACTGCGCGTCTTGTTGCTGACATTGTTGCGATTTGCGTATCATCGTTGTTCCAATTTGCATGTGCACTGCGGGTGCTGCACTCATGGCCCCGCATTCCTGGTTACACCGTCACCATGGGCTTGTCGTGCAAGATGGACATGGCTTCGGACGGGCCTGGCAGGTTTGAGAAATCCGGCTCTTCATGTTGCCACGGCTTTCACTAGAGTAGTGAATGCATGGTGGACCTCGTGGTGCCAAGCGCACGCCGTAGTTTGGGAGGTCTTCACGGAGGCCCTCCAACAGCGAGCCGCTGAGCTGCCGCCTATTCAAGAGACGATTGCAGCCGGGTCCTCGTGGTCCTTGTGGTCCTGGGCCAAGCTGCATGTCCCACACGATGCACTGCTGTTCAATGAGGACAGCGCCCCCCCGCTGCCTGAAGCTGGTTCAGAAGAGGCATCTACCAAGCTGGAAGCCAAGCAGTCTTGAACTCTTGGAGAGCATCCTCCAAAGCAGATCACTTATGGCCAGACGATGCTCGCATGACAGCAAGGCCAATGGATTTGTTCGACTTCTGCGACGAATCACCGAGCTTTGCGTCTGGCCCCCTGGTGTCATCTGTGTCCCAGTACTGATATTATGCTCATGTCTCATTTCTCTCTTCACCAGATCTGGCAAACTGCAGGAAACAGCCGGCACCAGCTATGACTGCGCAGCCTTCATTGAAATCAAATCTTCCGAGGGCCACCTTGGGACCAACCATTGCCAGGCGCCAGTGGATGCAATTGTCAGTGGATCCTGTTCTCCTATAGACTCCTGTTTCCTTGTACACTACAAGTTCAACTACAAAAAACATGCTACTCTTGAAATTCCTAGAGGGGTCCAGGCTGCGAGCAGCCTGGCCCCCCCCCTCGCCCCAGGACTCTCACCTCCTGGATGTCCGCACCCACCTCGCCTGGTGCAGCCGCCCGCCAAGGCCAAGACCCCCCACCACACCCCCACCCTCAGTCTCGTAGGCCCAATCTGCTCACTTTTGTCTTTTTGTTTGGTTCCCCCGGCAATGGGGCTTATGAGAATCAGATGTTTGACTTGGGCGAGCTGATCATGTCGACCCCCATGTACAGGTCTCTGGACGCGAGGTGTGGCTAAGATGTGGTAGACTACGGGCCCTTGTTGGCCTAAACTATTAAGAATATTCTCTGACCATTCAATGACGCTTGGTTTAGATAAACCCCAAAAAGGAAGATATTTGGAGACTAGAATCCCTAAACCACAAGGCGCCTTGCCGAAGCCTGGCGAGACATGGGCTACACTCTCAGGGACACAGGGTTCAATCCTCTGCGCAGCTACTGGGGCTACTAGGACTGTTGCCTTGCGGGTCCCGAAGCACTGCGTGGTGTTCTGAGATTCTGAGGTCTTCACCGGATCAGTAGATCGGGTCGACCTTTATCGAGATCCGGGTGCAACGGAGTGGGTCAACGACATGACCCGCGCGCACATGTTGGTGCAGCATTCTAAGTACCGTACTTGACAAAGTCGCCTTGGTCATAACAGCAACAATGAAAGGGTTACTGTCATACGGTCATGCAGCGCACGGCATCGATGCCATGATCGTGGGAACGCCCATTCTGGCCTAATGCAACAGCATTCCTGGTTCCTACAGAGCATCGGGTACCTTGCAGCAATGAGCAGGCGACTGTCGAGCGTGGCGTTTTGAGCCACTTGACAGCCACAGTCAACCATGTATGGCACTCGCCAGGACGTGCCGGGGTCCAAACAATGACCGCAGAGCCTCTGCCTCAGCAGGCATTCAGTCAACACGCATTCAACATCCTGCACCCACGCAAAGATGGTCACGATCGTGTCGATGGATTCCCAGCTGCAGATGGTGGAGATCAGGCTTACGCACGGGCTTCCGGTTCTGCGTATCTCCTCAGCTTTTTGCGCACCCGAGTCTGTTACACGAACGTGTTCCCATACCGGCGTGAACATATCTGGCCATTCGCAGGGAAGCAACGCCGGTATGTCATGACCCCGCTATACCCGGCACAATCCCATCATCAAAGTTTTGAGCACGGGTCCTGGTAGTTGAGCATGCAGTTCCGAAGACGCATTTGGAGAGGGTCCGTCGCACACAGAAGCCACAGTCCTGCAGGGGGCATGCGGCATGCCGATCTTACTGCAGACTTGCGATACTTGCAGGGGCACGGACAAGCTGAAGTTTGTCAAGGGGTGGTCCTGCCTGCCGCTTTTGATGTCATGCAGGATTAGCCATGGTGCAAACTCGAATCTGCGACTGCTCAGTAGCAGATGACAGGGCTCGCCTACTTGACGACAGTGGTGCCTGGCTGATAGAGCAGGCACGGTACGCCAGTATGCCTGTCGTCTCATTTGTCACGAAGTGCTGCAGGTTAGTTTGCTTATGTAGGTTTTCCCGATATACATATGTATACATATATATATATATACGCATGCATATGTATATATATATATAGATATTTGTTTATTCATTTATTTATCTATTTCTCTATTCATTTTTATGCACGTGTATATATATATACACATATGGTTATACTGTATTGGACAATGGATGTTATATATTATGCGCACAGATTGCATGTTACATTTCATTTATTGTATAGAGTTTTTACAATATGTATGTAGATGATCTACGGCATAGTACATCATATATATATATATATATCTGTAAATAAATAAATAAATAAATATATATATATATATATATATAGATTCTTTATTTACTTTTCATGTTCCAGTATATGATAGGAGAAGATACATATGGTGGCCCAGCGTGGCGAAACTCTGCCGTTGTCGTGAGCAGGCTCCCAAGTGAACAGAAAGCAACGCGGTCTTCTACGACCGTCCCTCAGCATTTCGGGCGCTGCCGCTTCCTGCGGCCACTTTGTGCTCTTGGTTGCTTGTGGGCCAGATCAGAGGCACCCAAAGCAACGAAAATGCACAGCCAGGAAGCAGCAGCTTTGATGCGGCAGCTCTTCTAAGTGAGCTCTTGGAGATCCTCGTGGCGCCGAACGACGGGAGCGATTCCGGAATGGCTGGCATCCCTGTCCACTCTCGGACGGCATGTCCCAAAGGTAGCTGACTGCATCCAGCCTCGATCGTTTAAAACGGCTCTGGCAGCGGTTTGACTTCTCTATATACAGTTGGCATAGGTTGGCATGTTGAGTTTTGTTACTGTTGGGGGTGTTGATGCTTGTCTTGATGCTTGTCTTGCTTTGTGTTTGGGCTCGCTCTCCTGGATGCAGTTGGGTCGAAGGCCTGCCCAGCATACCTGTTTCGGGCATGGTCATGAGATCATGCAGTGGCCATCCACGACATCTCTGCCAGGCAGCGCACATGGCTCGCCCAGGCATTCTCGGCGTCAGTGCAGCCCGTTTGCACGACGGCGCTGCCAGATCTTTTGAGACCTTGCGCATCAACCGTACGTCTGCATCAAAGCCACAAGGCTCGTGACGGTCACCTTGCTTGACGGGTCTTTTTTCAAACGCACTGAGTATGAGTCCTTGTCAGGCCTAAGCTTTTCTGGCGCTGCTGCTGCTTCTGTTGTGTCTGCGGTCACCGTTCAATGCTCAGCTGTGGCATACAATGATAGGGGTTCCGGCATTTTGGGACTTGTTCAAACTCTGATCTGAACCTGTTTCAAAAGCAGTCAATGCGTTGTCACGAGACGCGTGAAGGGGCCTCGCCTTCTGAGGCATTTTCTGCTGCGCGGGGTACCACACTCCGCAGCAACTTGCGCGCGCGGCACGTGGCCATGGCGCAGACTATCGAGGCTGTCGCGAGAATTGAGTTCAGGGATGGTTCAGGGAATCTCTCATACTTACGACGACTGGAACCAACTCTGACGGAGAGGACGAGAGTAGCGTCGCTGTCGTAGCAGCCTGAAGCATGGCTGATCATGGCTGGAAGAGAGGCCAACGCATACCTGAAGGCGAAGATCGAGGCCTGTCTGGCGTTTCCATTCTCATGACCCGCACCAAGCGTGTAGACTCTAATGATTCTAATGCTCGCGAAATACTCGTGCAGCTAATGAATGTTGCAAGGGCCAGTGCGGCTAGTGCCAATACCCACCATTATCTGGTGTCAAAGGTCCCCCCACCTCTCTATCCCCAATGCGACCTGAGCCCTGATAAATACCGCAATAGCAGTCCGATGTCGGCATGCTTCATTCCACACTCATCAGCTTATATCAGCTTAGTGCTGCAGAGCCTTTACTAGTAGCAGCCCTTCCACTGCAACTCGCAGGAGATGGTGGCCCTGCAGCCTGTCATGGTCTTCTCCAAGTCCTGGTGCCCCTTCTGTAAGAAGGCGAAGGCTGGCTGCCAAGCCAAGTAGAACCTGGAGAACCAGAAGCGAATCGCCGTGCACAGGAAGCCATGGAACAGCAGGGCATTCGCTTTGGCGTGTGTCACGTGGCATCACCATGCAAGAGTTGCCAGCAGTGGAGCATGCAACACGTAACCATAGGTGACCTAGTCGCTCATTGGAATGAGAGAGTGCCGGACTGATTACTCAGGCTTCACTTGTGCTTTGAACATGCTTTTGTGAAGTTTTAGGTGAGCTGGATCAGCTCGGCTCAGAAGTGGAGGCCGAGGCAGCCAGCAGTTCTGTCCGAAGTTGAGTGACCGCAGTTCGACAGCTGTTGGGAGTGTTTCACCCTGCTTCGCCTTTCCGAGCAGGTTCAGGATATCTTGGCCGGCCTTACCGGGGCCCGGACAGTACCCCGCGTCTTTGTGGGCGGCAACTGCATCGGAGGCGGTATCCTGGCCCGCAACAGTGGTGACACATGGTTGCCAGGCCATGTTGCTGAGTATTGCTGCGCAGTCAGTGCGAGGGCATACCCATACCAGAGTCGCCCTTGCGCTGTCAAGACATGTACAACATGCTGAGGCAGCGGTTGGGGTAAGCGACTGTTGCCACCCCCATCATAGGCACAGACACAGAGAAGCTTGCAGCCGATGGCTCGCTGAAGAAGATGGTAGGCAGGGGCCGGGGCTCGCGGCTGAAGCTTCGGAGGCGGTAATGAGCCTACGTGGGCGGGCAGGTGAAGCTTTGGCTTCCTACAAGAACAAAGTGTCCGGGGCAACTTCGTTCGAGCTGGAGAAGAGCGACGAGGAGTGACCCCTCAGCTAGCATTAAAACGAATGCCAGGTCAAAGAAAGGCTCTGAGTCCAGACTCTGCAAGGGGATGGGCATGGACTTGAGGAGTGGCTCTCGGAGCTGGATTCAGAGAAGTTCCGAATCCTCCGTCGGCGAGGCTTCGAGTAGTCAAGATTCAGACGAAGCGCAAAAACAGATTCATTGCTGCCCTCAGGAACTGAACCTCCTGGGTCACACAAGTACGACAAGTTCCTGCCCAAGGCCGCTCCCCATGCCCCATCCTGGTTGCATGCAGGATGAAGGTTCACGAGGCAGCAAGAGAGACTGAACTGTGTTGGAGGTGGTTGCAAGAAATCTGAGCCCCCTGTTTGGGGTCTCTTAATTCAAAAAATCACAAGAAAGGGGCACCCTTATAGTGCAATGTTGGATAGTTATGAAGCCCCAGTTGCTGTAGGTTGGGCACTTCTCATGTGGCGGCTGCGGCCTTCCACTGTACTCTGCCTCCTCGAAATTTGTGCCTCGGCTCTTGGGCTCCGGCCTTCTGGGCTAGAAGCCTTGTGACATGATCTGAAATTTCTCGGAAAGCAGGAGTAGTATGTGTAGTGTGTAGCACCTTGTTGTGGCCTAAGGCATCGACGTGTGGGTGGCCTGTGTTCGACAAGTGCCAGGATCTCATCCGACAAGTTCCGGATGCACTCATGACGCGACGTAATCGACACTTTCCGTTTGTTTCTACTCCAGTCTCTCCGGGGCAATTTGCATGTCCTCTCCTTTCGCCGAGAAATGTGAGTTAAAAGTCACCACGACACACACTTCATCTCAATGGCGAGGCTATGCCTCCGACGATGTTGGCCAGCATGTCATGGGGCAGCCTGACGGGAGCGGCGCTTTGGAGATCGTGTGCACGCGCTGCGGTTCCCACTTGGGGCACGTCTTCTACGACAGTGTTACGGAGGCCGACCTTTTTCACGTGTAAGGGGGCTACCACGGCTATGCTTCAGCCAGACTCCAGTCATCCCAGAGAGGGGATTGAGGATGTCTTGGAGTCTTGGGTGCTTTGGGGTATGTGCTTGCAACAGGCCAACCCGAATGGTGAGCGACACTGAGCCAACGGGCTCTCCCTGACCTACTCGGAGGGAGAGCCAGAGCTGAAGGACCCCCCCCCCTCAGGATGGATGCGAACAGCTTATCAGCAACTTTGCTTTTGCTTTGCCGTCTAGGCCATTAGACTTGGGGTGTAGCTTTCATACAGCACTGGCACAAGCAAGCCAGAGAAATGATCTCGCGCGTGAGGATCTGAAGGAGGAGAAGATGAGCATCCTGCGGCAGTAGTGCGCATGTACAGGTGGTAGGGACCCAGACTGCAGCAGAGCGTGTAGATAGCGGAATAGACCTGAGATGCAGGCCACTCGGGCCAGCAACAGCAGTGCGATGAGGTCGTGCAAATGAAGCTCCATTCAGCTGCAGCTGGAGCTGTGACCCCCTGTCGGTCCCCGCAACGGGCAAGGAGCAAGACTAGAGAAAGAGGCTGCAACTATTGGAGCTGACACCGCACGGCCTCTCCTTTGCAGGAAGCTGGCTTGCTTGCCTAATTCTTGCCGCTCTATCCTGCACACAATTCTTTAATGGACGAAGTCCACATTTTCGGCAGAACACAAGCAGCTGCTGTTGTCAACTGCTTGATGCCTTATACCACAGTGCCCAGTACGATGTCAAAACGCAATAATAAGTTAAATTAGTGAGATTCTAATAATCCTTGAATGTGATATCTTGTCAATGATGTTTTTGTTATATTGTCTCGATCATTACGTTCAATTTTTCGTAAATCTGTTCATTCTCTTTTCTCTTGTTTTAATTATGTTAGGTTGTCTTGCCTTTCTTTTGCTCTCTAACCTGCACACAGTTCTTTAATGGATGACGTCCACGTTTTCGGCAGAACGCAAGCAGCTGTTGTTGTTAACTACCTTATACCACAGTGCCAAATACGATGTCAAAATATAATAATATCAATTGGGAAGATTCTAATATAGGTTTTATTTAATTCCCAAGTAATTTCTGAGGAAATAATTATTGAAATAAGAAAATAGAAATAGATTTAGATCAAATATATTCATGATATTGATTTTCTTATGAATTTTAATATTTCTGGATTCTTTATTCTAATTTATACAAACATGAAAATTCTTGATTTTTTTAAGTTTTCATGATTATTTTTATTTTTCTAGTTTTTTTTAAATTTGGATTCGCATATTTCTGATTTCTGAAATTTCAAAATTGGAATTTTAATGAAATTTTTTTAAATAAATATTGCAAGAAAAATCTATTCGTATATCGATATATTTATTTTTTGAAATTGATACGAATGATTTTTACGCTTATATGCATAATTTTTTAAAAGATATTCGTATTTCGATATATTTATAGTAAAAATGATGTTTAAGAAAATGGTTTTCTGGATTTAGGATACCCTAAATTTCTTAGATTCCATTATCCATGTTCCCGGCGGGATTTGAGCCTAGGGTAGATTGATTTTCTCTCAACCAAACCCATGTTCAAGGAATGGCCGTGGGAAGGGTTCCCGAATGTGATTCCCACGCGTTTTTGGGGCAGGGTCAGGCCGCAGGCGCGGGGGAGTCACATTTTAGAATTTTTCAGAGCTGAAAACCTCTAGAATGTGATTCCCACGCGCTTTTGGGGTAGGGTGAGGCCATAGGCGCGGGAGAGTCACGTTTTAGAGGTTTGTAGGGCTGAAAATCTCTAGAATGGGATTCCCGCGCGTTTTTTGGGTAGACCCGGCGGATATTGTGGTAGGATTTTTTAGAAACTGACCCCAAATCACTAGGGCACCCTAAGTTTCTTAGCTAGAAGGCAACCGCAAATCGACCAATATTCCCGGGTCTAGGGACTCAATTTCTTAAAAAATAATTTCTTATACAATGATTTTATTCATATTTATCACATTGATAATGAAGTATGAAAAGGAATTATTTTCGATTCGATATTCTATTAATATGAGAATGATGGATGAATATATGATGTGGGTGATAAATTATAAATTTCGAATAATATGATGTGGCTAATAATGGAAATTTGAAAAATAAATGAATTTCAGAAGTGAAATGGGAAAGTATAGTATTATGAATGATAAAGATAGGAATAGGAATTTTATTCATGAAAATTAAATGAGATGAATTACGAATGATTTTCAATTCTATCATTACGAAAATTCAAAATCTCAATTATATGTATTTCAAATATCTATATTTTGTAATTTTATCAGATTTCATTCTTCATATCCAATTATTAATTCTCGAAATGATTGATGATGAATTCAGAATTTTTCGAATTGAAATTATTTTTCTCATTTTTATCTTAAAATTTCTTTTTGAATATGATATTTCTCTATCGATCGCCTTATCTAATCCCATATATAGAATTTAGATTATCATTTTAAAATCAACCTTCTTGGCAGGATTGGATTCTATTGATCAATTCTTCAATTTGATGATTAGATGGAAAGGGAGAGATCAAGAAAAGATGATATTGATATCTTTATATTATTGACGATATCAATGACGCAATAAATATTATCTATGTCCCATCGTATTTATGTTTCGGGGAATCGATGATCATTATCTTCCAAATAAGGGGGATGGAAGGAGATTTTCTGGCGATATTCTTCGTATTCTCGTAATTCGGGGTGATGGCGGATCTTTTCCCTTGAGAATATGAGGAATAAATGGGATCTTATCCGGAAGAAGATTCTGATATAATTCGTCTGATATCTCCGAGATATATTTCTTCTAGATATTTAATTCGTATTTCGTATTTTCGGGCGTAGAAATCATTTATATCGATTATTAGATATTCTTTTTAGAAATATCAATAATAATTCGATGAATCTTCTCTTTTATAGATCATAGTCGTTCGATCGAAAGGGATCCAATGATTTCTAGAAAGAATTTATGAATTGATATCTTAAATATTCATAAATATAAGAAATTTTGAAATGGACCCATATATATATATATTTCTAAATCTATGAATCAAGAATGGTCGATATGATATAAGACCCTGGAAGAAAAAAATGACTTTAGATTTCAAATAAAAGAGATATCATTGGTCCAAATTAATTGGTATCCTCATTCGAGATTCGAATATAAGAAAAAAGATAGATAAATCGGTCGGTTAATTTCAAGAATTTATTTGATTCTAATGACCCCAATTGAAAATTTAATTTCAATCATATTTTTTAAATTATCTATTTCTAAGATATTCCAAAATAATACGACGTACCTCGAATAGACGACGCCCAATGGCAAGAAGGATCGTCTCGATCGAATTGGGAGAAAAAATACACGCCTTACGATTGAGATCATCCCCAACCAATATCTTAATATGAAAATAATCTCCTATACGAATAGGACCACGACCCCCCTCCACGTAGGACCGCTCCGCCGGCGTGAATCCCATCGTAAATTGCCCGAGACGTGGGCAGGATTAGGAAAACAACGAACAATGGTCGGGGTCTCTCATATAGATTAGGGGAGGACGAGGATTTCTAGACTTAATTTTGATTTTAAATGTTTCCTTACCTTAGGATCCTTATATACGATATAATTATGAAATAGTTATAAGAGCCTAAACCCTAATCCCTAACCCCTCACCCCTAAACCCGACCACACGAGACCCCAAACCCATGTTTTTCTCCCTCGTTTACCAATTATTTAATTCCATCGTAGATAGCTCTATAATCAAAAAGAATAATCTCAATATCAAATTCTCCTATGAAAAGAGAATATTAATATTAGCTTTTATAATGAATATTATGAAGTATAGAGAGAAATGAAAATCGTAATATTAATATAAATGAAATATGAATAAAGTGAGTATTCATTCGTATTTATTTCGTGAATTATAAATTAATGTACGAAGGCGCCTTTCGATTGAAAAATCAATCATCATCTCAATATGAAAATACTAGAGGGGACCCGTCGATTCCATCGACGGCATATCCGCCTACTAAGTAGAAATAGATATACGTTAAAACTCTGAAAAAGTGCGGACAAATAAAATATCCAAGTATTTTCGGGATCTCTATATAGATATTTGAGAGTCTGACGTGTGAGCGTGGTGGGTAAGAATTTATTTAGTAAGAACTTGAATGAATGATTTAATGCGAAGGTAAGATTTAAGGATTACGATTTATCCTCGGGAGGGCGGGGGTCGGGTGGCCATGGAACGGTGCGTCCCACCCGCCGCAGAGGATTCTTTCTTTTGGTTTTGGTTGTGGAAGGACGTGCTTTGGATAGGATTTGTGTTGGGTGTTTTGCAGATAGGATGCAGGTCTTGGTTTGAAAAGGTAGACCAGGTTCTTGCTGCTAAACGCTTGGGGGGGCGGTGTTCTTGTTGGAAGGGATGCAAGCGTAGAAACGGATTGCTCATTTTGGCTCTTTGGTGCCTGAGTTCGTTGATTGGAGGAAATTGTGTGGAATGGGGTCATCTTTCCCCGCCGTTCCCATATCCTCATGTGTTTCCGACTTGGGATAATGCTCGTGCTAAAAGCCGTAGACGTTCGGCGTATCGATGTCATTGGGTTTCGCCCCAGCACTTGTTCTATTTGCAGCACTTGCGTTCGTGCGCTGCTTCAATTTGGGGACATTTTAGGGCGAGCAACGCTGGGATGCCCATCTGTCTCTTTTTGCCGGGATTGGACCAATTGATGAATCGGCTCGTCGCTCTGCCTCTCTTGGCTCAGAGCTTCTACTTTGCCGTGTTTTGGCTTTGGAATCTGCAGAGAGGTGATTGGTTGAAGAGCGCAATCTGTGGAGGTGCCGTGGTGTTGTGGGGTCGGGACCATCATTTCAGGGCGCCGATTTGTCATGTTGTGTCGGTGCTCGGGGGTTGGTATTTGAGTCAGGGTATGACGTTTATGATTCGTCTTTTCCTTCTCGGACTTGTGGGGCTTTACCCAGCTTTTCCACAAGGATCCTTTCCATCGCTGCTGCAAGGTAGTGCGAGTATGGAGATTGATGAAGTTGAAGATGTGGCCATGCCATCGGCGATGCCGCTCATGGATCCCCCTCCTTCGGCGGCTGAAGTTACG